TATATATATATATATATATATATATATATATATATAAACTCACTGACATTGAGTCGGCTCTGACTCAGCAACCCCTCCTTGGGTTTCTGAGGTTGTATCTGTGTGAAAATAGATTGCCCAGACTTCCTTCCGAGGAGTGGGTGGTGAGTTTGAACCACCAGCTTTCCAGTTAGCTGTCAAATGCCTTAGGCACTACACCACCAGAGCTCCTGTGTGTGTATGTGTGTATATAAAACTATATAGATAGTTTGTGTGCACACATGTGTTTATACATAATACACTTATGACATATATTGTATGTGTGTTGGTTTGTGTGTGTGTGTTGTTGTGTACCTGTGGGTAGCCCAAATGATTAAGTGCTTGTTTACTATCCAAAGGCTGGTGGTTGTAACCCACCCAGAGGCACCTTGGAAGACAGTCCTGGTGATCTTTTCCAAAAGGTCACAGCTTGAAAACCCTATGAAGCACCCTTATACTGTACACTCATGGAGTCACTATGAATGAACCCAATGGCAACTGGCAATAAGAACATCCTAATGCACACACATACACACAAACACACACATGCACAGACACATATTTCATAACTCCAATAATTGATAGACATTAGAATGATATATGATATGAATGACTTACATTAAAATAAAGCAACATAACGATAAGAATATTTGTGTATTCACAGCTGAATTTCAACTTAGAACTTCTGCCTAATATTTTTTGAATAAGGAAAAGTATTTAGAAGGATTTCCCAGAGCTGTCATTCTATAGGGTCACATCTCACTTTGTACCCAACTACCTTGAGGTGATGTAAAACTTGTAGCCTACTCTATCCAAGGCAAAATCATCACCTTTAGGAAGCTTTCCTGGAAATCTCAAACAGAAAACATTTCTATTTTCCTACCTTCATCACCCCCTTTGACCAATAATAGGCTTTACACTGTAGTGCTCAGGAGGATCTCTGGTAGCATAGTGCCTAAGGCACTTGCCTGCTAACCCAAAGGCTGGCAGTTCAAACCCACCAGCCACTCCTCAGAAGGAAGGTTGGGCAATCTACTTCCATAGTGATACTGCCTCAGAAACCCAAGGAGGGGTCGCTATGAGTTGGGCCGACTCGATGGCACATAACAACAACAACAACTGTAGTGCTCAACACGAATGTGTGTGTCTTATTTTTTTCTAAGTCCACTGTTTTAATATTTTCCATTAAATATTTAACTTTATTACAAATTTTTTCAATAATATGTGCATTAATCTATTTGATAATCTTTATTTCCAACTCTACTTTGGCTTATGTATCACCCCTAGAAATCCCAATACACTCTGTCATTCTTTGGCTGTCTTTTATACATCACCTATATACACTGTGATGACATTGAACAGATTAGATGTCTCTCAGTGCTAAACAGAGCTAGATTATTTACCAACAAATACCTTACCAGTCTTTATGCAGAGGTTAGGATGTTCACTTACTCTCTTGTTATCCCAGAGTAATTTGGAAGTCACATACTCGAGTGAGAAAAAGTAACAATTTCCTTTAAAATTCTCTTTGGCCTCACAAAAATGCTTAGGTTCTCACCTATTTGTTAGAAGCAATATAAGTAGGTTATAGTTTCATCCCACATGCTTGAAAATCCACCCTCATGCAAGATTTTGACTGTGAAATGCTTCTCTTTTGTCTTCCCAAGAGGAGTATTTAACATGAATGATGCAAAACATAGGT